TACATTATATGCACTTTATATATTGGAACTAACCGCTAATCTCTCGAAAAGCGTCAGGGTGGATGAAGTCAATATTATTGCGTGTGAGGTCTAGCGATACAAGGCCTGTCAACCTTTTCAAAGCCCCCGCTCCCACCTCACTGATCTGATTCTCCGCTAAATTTAGCTTGTCGAGCTCTGCAATCAATAACAAATAGAAAAAATACTTTGTTATACGTAGAAGTATCTTGAGCACGAATTTTGTCTCCGTCAGAAGTAAATACCCATTTAAATGAGTTTTTAAATCTGTTAATATATTTGAAACTGTAAATACACACATAGCAAGGCAGCTAAATTCGGGGTATATATCGCAACTTAGGCCACCTCTTTGCCCCTACGCCTACCTAATGTTTGCCTGTATTCTACGATCTAGGTATAAAGGCAAATATTTGTCGAGTGCGTGTGTCGAGAATGTACATGCATGGAGACATCCGCGTAAAGCTGGAAGAATACAAAATGTTTAGAACTATATTGTTCTTTAGTTTGTGAGTCATCGATTCCGACATCCTGTGATTCTTTCTTACAGTACAAATATAAGCAGATCATGCTTTTTATTCCTCTCAAGTTTGCCGTAAACGACTTTGCTCCTTGTTTTCGTTTTTCCGATCAACAGTGGCCCTATGCAAGGGCGCCGACCCACCACGGCCTAAATATTTGTCCAGGTTCCGTTCCGAGAACAATGTGTAAATTTCAAAAAAATAATGTATTCATGCAAGCCTATTCCATACACTAAAATAGAGTGGATTCTCAAATGGAACACATACACGAAGGGGAACTATGCCTTTGTGCAAGTTGGATGTTTCACATAATCTGTGCATAATAATTTCTACCTGAGAAATGGCTGGCAAGTGATATTGACGTTTCTAGAGTAACGCTGCACAGCAGTTTTGCTGTTCGAATAAGAGCCTCTTAGCAGATACGAAAGAAATACTGGCAGGTGCGTGTTGGGAAGGCTTCAACTGTGCCCCGAGACCAGAGATTTAGACAGCTGCTCAGGATTAATAGGGCTGAAATGTCCAATACGGGTCAGCAAAGGTACTCTTATCGGCAAAAGTTATTTTACCACTGGTCAAACACGCTGTGACCCTTTCTGTCCATCTGTCAAGGATGTTTCTTCTTGCCTCTTCTCATTGTTTGCCTTGTAAGAGAGCGTTTAGTATGTTATTAGCAAAAATATTGTGAAGGAAAATAGCAAAGCTTACCTTCAGGCAAATGTTCTGTCTCGATCTGAGTGATATTGTTCTCATGAAGATCGAGGTGTTGCAGTCCAGCTATAAGCGCTAACGCTTCAGCGGGAATTCGAGTGAGGTTGTTGCGACCGATATTTAGCCGCGTAAGATTGTTCCCACAAGACAGAAAGGCTGCCGAGTCCAAAGTGTGTAGCCTGTTGCCATACAGCGTTAAGCGGATAAGCGAGACAAGACCGCGGAATGACTCACTACGCAACATGGTGATTCGATTCAGTGAGAGATTGAGCGATACTAGGGCTTTCAGCGCTTCGAAGGCTTCTGTCGGAATCTGCAAACGTATCGAGACGAATCATTAAAGGTACAATCAGTAAAGATGTCCGCATTTCAAAGCCTCTAATTGACCAAGCAACGTTAGCTGTTTATATCTGTAATATCGCCACATATATATATATATACATCTGGTAATTGCCTAGAAGCTGCGGTTATTGTAGCCTCATACCTAGATCAATTATCACAAGACAGTGATAGAAATCTGCTGCTAGATCGCAGCGTCAATCCATGGAGAAAGATATGCGCACTTACCAAGACTTTTTGTGTAATGACACTAAATTCAAACATATTTAGTAGCAGCATTGTGCGACAAGGGACAATATCACTTTAGTCTCGTGAAGAAATAAACAATGTATACGTATGCTCATTGATTGTTATAGGAAAAGTTTGCTAAAGCAGCATAGGGGGAGTTCCGCGTAACTTATGATAACGAACGCCTCGAACACTGCGGCGCTGGCCGAACAAGGTGGTAAACAGCCTGAGCCATGGGTATCCATTAAGGCGCATCAACGTCCTGTACCAGGAACGAAATCATTGACCTAGCCAAGCATCGACAGAGGCTCGTGCTGGATCCAGCTCTGTTTCGTACTTGGCCGACTAGGACTCAATCTAGGCTGGATGAAAGCAAGGGATTTCTTACAGCGCGAACTGGCATCGTTTATATTTCTTGACGAAACGGGCCGTATTTTGACATACATTTCTGTATTAAATATATGAATAATCCCTCTATGTAAATTTATTGCTGCGTGCTGTGTTGCAGTGTTCTTACAGACAGTTCTACTAGTGCTAACAAAAAATCGGTAAGGCTATTGCTTTTTTTTTTTAGTCTTAATTTTCCAATGAAATAAGGAAACACATAATCGTTTTCGTAAGAGATATACTTTGCATTGATTCGACTACTATCGGGGATATCAACCTTTTTATGTAGTCGTTCGTTGTCTTTGTCCATATACCCAAGAGTACGATTTATTACTTAGTCAAATATTAACAAAGCTAATGAGACCACTAGATTGACCGCTGCACATTCGTGAAGCTAGATAGAAGATTAACCGATTATAATATGTTTAATAACAATCGTTTTGTAGATCTTTATTTAAAGAATATCGTTAACGCTATTTCTATAGATATTTCTCGCAAAAATTATGACTTCAGCAAACCTGATCGTCACCTTTAGTTAATAAATGCGATATACAACAAAAAAAAAAAAAAAAAAGCTTGTCGGTATGTTGTAGTACAGAACCTGTCAATCTGAGGTCAAAAGCAGACAAATTAATGCGGTAATTTATCAATATTATTCTTCACCCCTAATAAAGTCTTCTCTATTCGACCAGTTTCGCTTTTTCATGATTGCATCACAACACTGCAGTCATGAAGAAGACCGACAACTTCCACCCAAGTGAGCGATTTGTTCATGAAGATAAAAAGAAAAGAACTAAAACTCACACGCTTACAATTAAGCACCGTTTAAAGGTTCTTAGAAGGACAGTTGAAGATCAATACAGAGACTGAATCCGCGACAAAATCAAACACGACTCCGTAACTTGTTGTTCGTGCATTCAATCGCTAATTACGTGTAAAGATTGCTTATTAAGAGATTTCGATGTTTACAAATATACTAAAAATACAAATAGTGCGACTCCTTGAAACAGGTTAGATTATTTTCAGATATATTCTCGGTGTGTTTGTCGTAGTGGCCTGCAAAATGCAAGGGTTCCCCAAAAGGAACGAACCGATCAAACCTAACGACTATTTGGAGCGGCTGATAATACACTTTATGTTAGTATAGAAACCACAGCTACAAAAGGTCGCTAAATATCCGGTCTGAGCATTTTACCGGATAGTATAGCCTATCAAGGCGAACCATACTGAACTAACTACCAGATAACGAGCCTAGCATCAAACTGCTAGTATAGCCATAATATAATCCGAATCATACCTCTGACATCTTTTCAGGTTTCTAAGATAAATAATAAAACAGATGAGAGAACTGGATCTAACTAACCTTAAGTATACACAATGTATTTCACTAAATAGCATATAATATGAAACAGAAACATGTTTAAGACCTGTAGAGCATGGCCGCATGTATTCGAGAATATTCGATGCAATACCTCGGTTAGATGATTCTTGGAAAGATCTAAAGACTCTAGACGGTCCCCGAGATCCTGGAAGGCATCGCGATGGATCGAGCTAATGTTGGCTTCATGCACTAACAGATGCTTTATATCCAAGCCATAGAGAATATCTTCAGCCAGAACGCCCATATAGTTGTTAATGAGCTTCAGGTACATAATCGTGTCCTGCTGCTCCGCCACCTGAAACAAATGCGGGACATTTACGTACACTATTGAAAGCGACTATCATTCATATCTGCTGGCAGCAGGATAAGCTTACCGATCATAAATGAGAAAGATCCTTTAATAAGAACTACTTACGGATCTGAGACGGTGAGAGCTAAATGTATAATTTCCAAATTCAGCCGGTAAGATATAACGCAATACAGTGAAATAGGTAAAAAAAAAAAAGAATAAAAAGCATAAAATTGCAAGGACTGTTTCGTTTGCTGCGTTATTGAAACTGGAAATCTTCCTGCCCTGGGCTAGTTACGAATGCCCAACGGTACTGATGTAATATCTGATTGTCACCTCGAAATACCCTACTCACTTACACAAATAATATGAATATTAGTAGTAGAAAAAGCTTTTCATCGACGTCTCCCTGGGATCGGTACGTCTAGAGTCAATCTCAATGTAAAACAACATTCACTATATTCAAGGTGATCTAAGGACAAAACAAGCTGTTTAATCTATAGTAGAGCGAAAAATTTATATGTGTCATAAACCTATCAAATTTGTGCAAACAGAGCCGTTTAAGATGTTGTATCTCTTTCCGTGGGGCGCTATTTGTAGCCATAATAGTCTGGTGCTGTGCTTAGCGAAAATAACACAGTGATCAGTTTGTATAAATGCATCCTTAAGTAAGTTTAGGTATTGGAATAGCTACTTCACCTTTTCGGGTAGGTGCTTGCTCGAGAAAATTGACTGATCCAACATACTGGTGTAGTTACGTCAAAAAAATGTTGTTATTACAATTACTTTTACTAGAAATCTGCATGACAAGCAGAAAGTACAGACCACAGAGTGTTGCTGTATACAGGCACAAAGCTTAAATGCGTAAACGTTACGTTGTTAAGTAAAAATAACCCAGTTTCTTTTCTTTTTGCGCTTTCCTCATTGCTTTTCATCTCTTCCCTTGCTTGCCAGGAGTAAACGTTGATGTTCAGCCAGCTTTGACTTTTTAGTCGTCTGCGTTTCCTGTCAGTAAACACTATTTACGCACATATCACACCGAAGGAGAATGGCTTTAAGCTTAGCCCATTTGGGCCATTTAGAACTCTAAGCTTAAGGCTGCGGACCTAAAGTTCCACTCTGCCTAGCTCGATGACGCAAGCTATGTGTAAAGCACTTTCGCCACTAGTAACTTAGAAGAAAGGTAGTGCTTTTTTTTGATATTGATTCTGCTCTACGGTGCATATAGTGAGAGCCATATGCAAGAATCTATGTATATGGGTAGATGGATGCACGAATGCGGAGTTAATTCGAACTGCGCAAACCACAAACTTTTTGCATAGAAACTTACAGCCAGTCAATGATGGAGCAATCAAACACTAAGAGGATCTAGGCAGGTTGTGCCTACAGCCTCTCACGGGCTGTATTTCCACTCATGCTTTTTGCAGTATGGGTAGATATTGGAAGTCCATTGACTACCTTAGTAGCTCGCACGTCCCCCTAAAACAAGCCTGGGTAAGACTATCCGTAGCCAATAATCGAAAGCAATTTTCTTTCGATGTCCCATGTCTTCTCATACTGGACTTCCACAAGATCATCAGCCGTTCAGGTTCTGTTAACGTCTCGGTTGCTAGCTTAAAGACAGTGGTTGTTTTGGGACACTCCCATATGTATCGAGATTTACTTTGGCAACGCTTTGCAAGATGGCTAGGTAGTTGCGCGAATCCCGTCGTGTGTAACCCAAAGTCTAATAGTAATAATATATATAATATAATATAATAATAAAGTGACATTTTCTTAAGTGCCAACCGGAGCCAACTTGCCAGATATGAAACGGCGATAACAGTTCAGCCTTATGTTTGGCTCCGCACAGAGCTCCGCGGCTTTCGAAACTGTTTACGAGTAAACACTATATAGTACTTGTTGTGAATTCAAATAAAACACTAACTTCACTTCGAGTTCGTCGTAAAGCCGCAAACAAATTTTAGATTTATACAATAGGAATTTCTACGGAACCGCAAAAATATAGCGGTGTTACAAAGAAGCACCTAATATATTTGGGAGACTGCTACCGCTACGGTAAACGGTGTACTTCGTTGCGCAACATCGTTTGGTGGACGCACACGCGGCCACGAACAAAAGCGGCCTATTTTCAGTTGCGAGTCATCTGTTAAGTCAATGTATACCGCTTCCGGATGTCACCTCCGGATAGACAGATTGTTTTTCGTATACATGGACAGTGCGTGTAGAGGCGTGAATTGATTAGCTCACACTCGGATAGGGCTTTGCCTAATCTGAACGGCTGTTCTTCTGGCCACACGTACTTAACAATTGCTTCAATGTAGCACAACCAGCATGTGTCTCTAAGCTTCGTACTCGGCTTGCCGCTTCCTCTTTTAGAATACTCATACTGCGTTTGTCTAGCCTATATTTCTTTCGATAGCTTTCCGACTATCTTTCAACGCAAGCCTACAAAATCACTAAGAATAACGATAATAATAATAATTTTTATTATACCTAGTTCCGCAACTAATAACTGCAATATATATTTATAATAAGGTTGTAGAATGAACTCACATTGTGTAAAAAAAATTCTAAACAAATTCTGGGTACAGCGTTTTGCTGCGTCCAATCGCACAGATTTAGCCAAGATTCCGATAGCGAGCGAAGTTTTAAGATATATATCAAAATTAATTATTTACCAGCAGCAGGATACTGCGTATCTTATCGATGTTGCTTCGTTCACAAAAGATGTCCAGACCGCGGCTTTTTTCGATGCAGTAGCATTGAACACCTGGAACCCGCGCAGGACACCCGAAGCGCCGTCCGCTCACTACCGTTGATACCAATAAGAACCAGACCAGCAGGTCCCGCGAGAGCCAGCGGAACCACATCTGTACAAGGAAGGACAAAAATAGATTTTTATGATGCTATGTATAATCCGAAATGGTTATCAAATAAAACGACACGTCTGGCTGTTTAGATTAAAGACCATTAGATATACAAACGATCATGGCCAAAATGAGTGATCCATGTTACTTACACAAATGTGAGATTCGTTCTGTTCCAGATGCATAACACTGGAATACACCCGGAAACATGAGCATCTTAAACTTTATACCATTTCCAAAACAATCCAAATAAACTTTAGAATACCAAAGTATAGGTTGAGATAAGAGTGAAGTACTTACTAGCGTAGTTCGCGTGGTGCTAACAAAGCGCACGGTGTCTTTACACAAACATAATTTGTTATTTAACAAACTTCTTTCGAAGCTAGTTAAGCCCATGTAGTCTTCAAATTGACCCGCGTTGAAAAAAACAGTTCGAAGGATGCCTATTTTTAGAACGTGTCAGCTTATAGTCAGCTATAGAACAGTAAAAGAACGTCACGTGAAGCGCCACATTTACCATAAAAGCTAGGTTGGTGGTAAGCCTAATTATCAAACTGTCTATTTCTAACGGTGAGCTAAACTTCCGGTAGCATTTACTCGTTACATAATATAGAAATGACAAAGGCAACGGCCGCACATCACACGTAAATATTCATTTTTTAGGTAATAAATTAATTACTTGGATTTTTTCTTACGAACTGGATTGATTAGACATATTAATGATCTCGTTAAAAACATTCGTATTTATTTATCTTTATTGAATTCCATTTTCGAACGAACCTCTGCAGTACAAATAAAAATTCCCTACATATTGTGTATATGTATATATATACAGATAGGAGTACGAAGCGCTGAGTCATAGCTTTTTCAAGGAGAACCAACACTGGGTTGGCAATAGTCGACCATCAGCTTTCTGCTGCAATAACCAAGAAAAAGAAAATAGGAGAATATGCGAGTTAAAGTCGATGATTTGTAACTTACCGTTGGAAGCTAAAGTTGAACCGTCTAGCCTGCCTCAATGCATTCTGTACCTTAAGATGGAACACGATAAGGACGAAAAAATATAAATGTTAGTTAAATAAGTTTTTAAGCCTTGGATTATTTAAACGGTCAAGTTCTAATCGTTAATTAGTTGTAAAATTAAACCACGATATGTGAAAGAGTGAGGCAACGATGGCTGCAGTACTTCGAACATTTTTTTGTTACCTACGTTTCGGATCTTACATTCAAAACTGGGTTTGAATTGCATTAGACAATTGTGACTACTGTGTGTATACATTCGCTTTTTAAATATGAATCTTGATCGGGACAGGGATCATCAGGGTTTCCATAGAGGTTTAAAACAGCCAGCCGCGCAAACCATTAGGTCATTGTTTATGATTAAGTTACAATCACATATAACAGCTGTGTTAACTAATGTCTGATAATAAGTACTGTAAAATAATTTTCTATATCGATTCGCTTTTCTTAAGTTGCACTTAGGCTACTTTGATAGTCGCTGTGTGCAAATATAACATGGCGGCATAAGGGCAAAACCTCTACATTTGTGAGGATGTGTGCGCTCACCGAAAAACCATTGTTTTGTTATAGCATTAACAAGAACGCAAATTTATCCTTCTGAGGTGCGTCCTTCTTGAGTTGAGTTCTAGTTTAACTCAATAGCGCTACGGATTATTACACTTGAACTGAGCATCTTTTAAGTAGGTCTATCTCAAACAGCACCGCCTGCAGATGAAAGATAATTACACTACGCTTTTTACTAACTAATATTATTTGATAGTCCATATAAACTATGTTTGTGACACGTATCTCCATATAAAACCCGATTCAGGGGCTGGTTATGGTGCGGACCTGACAGAACACAAAAAATAGCTATAGGCGAAATTGTCAACAGCTGAATTCTGCATAAAAACTCCAGGCTCTATAGTTCTAGTGAGACAGCGGAGCCCAGCTCGACCGGGTCAGACTTCACGCGGCGTCACGCCGACGACTGGGTTCAGATCCGTAGCCCAGTGACGCCAGGTTGAACAGCTGCTTCAAGCCATTGGCGTGTCTTCGCTAATTTGGGTAGGCGGTCGTCCACTTCGTAAAGGGTTTTAGTGGGGGCTAGAGCGGTATTGCGGGGTTCCGGACTTGGAAAAAGGGGGCGGATTTCAAGAATTCATATATTTGAGTGGCGTGGTATAGCGCAAGCTTTGTCATGCGTCGTTTCTAGCTGGCTTCACTCTTCCCTTTCTCTAATGCTGTACACATATATGAAAGCACTAGTTGACGCAACACACGCCTAGGTTGTTCAGGAGCGTACGGGTTCAGACTTTAAACGCTTTCAGTATTTTTTTTTCTGTAAGACGCTGATAATCGTCAAGCTAAAAAGTTGATAAGGACATAACTGCCGAGCCGCGTAACGATGTGCATCGTTTATTGGCTTAACTCTATTTTGCAAAATCTTCAGGCAAAAAAGCTAAGTAGTCGCTCTTGAATCTATCGTAATAATCAGAGAATGAAGATAGATCCACGTTTTCTGTCATCATTATGACGATGTTTATGGCGGTCCAACGTTAATTTGCGGCTGGAAAACATGTTGCTCCTTTAAGGCCGTTTAGCCGAACGTAAGAAAGATGCAGTTACAGCTCGCCAGAAAACAGGGTATATGATCGAATGTATCCCTATCCTGAAAAATGTATTTTTTAGGCGAAAAAAAAAAAAAAAACTTATACTCTAGATAGCAGTGTGTAGGAAATGTCACTAAACAATCAACTGCCATTGACAACCCCTCGCCTTGGCGGTCGTCGTAAACGTGATACCCAGCAAGTGGATTCTTAAAGGCGTCGCAGATTGCACTATCACAACTCGATATTATTGCAGAGTAAAAAAATATTTTTAGATCTCAATGTATATTTGATACACAAGTAATATTAAACAATTAAACACACATCTGAGTCAACTAATTTAGTCCAATCCCATAGTTAAACGAAACTGTAACAGAATGAGACCTTCTGTCGATAAGAGGGTTCACCTTTATATCGTTTAGCTTGTTACCGCTGTTCCAAAAGCATATTATACAGGCGTTTTTTAGTGGCTATATGAGTCGTACAATATCCGAAACAGCAGCAGCTCGGAAACCTTTGAGCAGTGCGTGTCTAATACTGCTCGCATACGGGTACCATTGGACATACCAGACGACACTTTTCCAGATTACAATATGTAAGCCCGCCGAATCCTAAAGTTTTCTTTGCCGCTAAGGTTCTGCATTTACCAACTTGGACCGGGTTCGCATCGGCGGAAGTCTTGGGAACGCGCATTTACGTCCAGGCGACGTATCTATTCCACTGTCGGAAAGACAGACATGCGACCGGCAACACATATACTGGACAGATCATTCACTTCCTATCCATTTGAAGCAAGCTAATGTTTTTAGGAAGCTACGATCACTGACTTTTTTAAGGTTACCATTCGGTTAAATAATGTTATCCTTTTACAATGTCCTTAAGATTCACACGAAAGCTTCTTCATGCGCTGAACATGGACACATTTGTAGGCGGGAATCCCATGTTGCATTCTTAGTTGGCGCCCACCCTAATCCGGCCTCGCTCTGTATTGTTTCGATAGACTGGCAGCGTTTGTAAAATAATCAGGGTCGCTATATGTCTATATATATATATCTCTATATCTATTACTATCCATAAGTAAAACATCGGCTTAGTGGTATACCTTCCTCTTCATAAACTTGCGTACTTGGCGAAAGCATGTCAGCTTATACGACGAGAAGCGATAACTGTATAGTTAATTCCACAGTTTCGGTTTTTTATGTGTGTACCTTTACGGCAATCAATATCGGTAATAATCGTCATAACGATCGTGGCTTTACGCCCAAGATGTGCAATACAAAGGTAGTGAAGATGGTGCCATTAGCGTCAGCAGTATTCAGCGAATTTCCGATGCTGAACCTCTATCGGCAACGGCGAAGTCGGAGTTGTCGATTCGGTCCGTACACAAAAAAAATAATTCCTGTGCCCTCTATTCGTAGCATTGCATCATTATACCTAAATCATGTCAGAATGGGCAAATGACGTAATGCTGGCTTACAATTCGAAAACAGGCTTCTGGCGATTATGTCCGACACACAGCGGCAGCTGCCCCAAATCCGTTGCGGCTCCACTCAAATAACTTCAGCCTTTTCCGATGAAAGACATCTTTCATGTACTCAAGATGAAGGCGGAGGAGATAAATATTACCGTGCTAGAAAATAACGATTGGGCGCCAGCGTGTTCATCTAAGCGTTAACAATCGAAATGGGATTTTCGAAGACGATTATGTATGTAAATGAAAATTGGGTCAACGTTTTTTTAACCTTCTTTTGAATCTAAAGGACAAGTAGTTAAAGGAAAGAATGTATTCGTTCACAGAATGTCGACAAGAATTGTTTCGAGCTATTAGAATGTAGAGTAATAGATTTTTCTTAAGTGGACCTTGATTGGCTATCAATAGGTGAGAGCTCTTTCCAAGGGTTATTCACAGAGCTCTGTATAGACTAACAAATAATTTTCTGAAAAGACTCACTTCAGACTTGACTAGCCAGTACTAGTAGCCAGTACTTAGTTAAGGTCACCCGAGAACTTAGAAGAAAAGTTCTCGGGTCTATCAAGTCAAGAGTCAGGAGAACCTCAAGCATTTAGCAAAATTGCAATGCACTGCGAGCTTACAAATTTGGAATCGGTTCGTTCAAGCTTAGCACATGGGGCCTGATTCTACTTAATCGTAATTGATTTTCAACCATGTACGCTGTATTCAACTGAACATAGAAGTCTAAAAAAGAGGCAAATCTAAAGGTAAAAAAAAATCAGTCAGAAGAGTACCACTAACTCTGATAATTACATCGCAACTGCAACAGTGGCCTTATTTTTCTTGGCATAACAGGCGCATCGAACACGTATTACGGTTATGGGAAAACCTATTAAATCAGAAAAGCACCGTACCAGTCTGAAGAGCGTTTCTTCGGCCTTGAATGCGCACTTAGGGTTTAGAGAAGTGCTTAGGGCTGACTAATGAGCAGACAATTGGTCGAATATTGCAACGGCTTGAGATCCGGAGTCGGAGAAAAGAACCGGTATTACCCATTAACGAAATGATGTCCTGTAGCTTTTCCGGTTATTGGTTATATTATCAAAATATGGAAACATTTCTAACCGCATGTGAAAAATGTTACACCAGGGATTCGGCCAGATGTCCGAGCATGCAGGGAATATGAAACTAGGACTGCTAGGTCCTTTTCCGAAGACCTATATTGTAGGGCTAACGTGTGTCATAATAAGTGAGTAACTAACAAGAGAGATTAAAAATGTAATATTCAAGTTTGGGCTCACAGACCGATTGAAGCGCACGTGCCAAGTGCGTTCGTTTACCACATCTAGCCAATACCACTGAGTGGAGGGAATTCAGGCAGATCCTTTCATAGAATTTCCGAAACTGGCCAATGTGTAACACAATCAGGGTAAACGAAGTCGATGAACTCTAAGCGGTATACGATATGGCGAATGGCGCCTATTGGAGATCAGCGAAAAAAAATGTGATCATTAATAGTTTCTCAGTTTTAGTTATTTTTCGAGGACGTGCGACTATCCCCACCCCTGGAACAACCGGTACCGAACCGATATGTGGCCATATTGCCAAACGTTACTCGTGATTTATCAATTTCATAACCTGATTTGTTTACGAATCAGGAACAGTATCATGTAGTGGGGCCGCATTACCCAATACTTAACGTATGCCTATATGGTAATGTACACATAATGTGTTTGTTTCTCGTTTGAGACTATGTCAGCCGATCCGTACATTTTGACAGTTTGCCCCGAGGAAGACTATAAATACTAATCATAGGACTTAGCTTTGTGATGCTCGTTCTGATTTAGGAAGGAACAGAACACTACATATGTACGTTACCTGATGAACCTTTAGATTGAGTGAGAAGGTCATGCCCTGTTCAACCTCCTATTTGATTCACATACTTTATTAGGTGATAGGTGTCATGAAA